ATAATTTTAGAATTATTTATCTTCATATCTTTCACATTCGTTTGGATTTGTAATATTTATGTGTCCAATAACTGTTTAATGCTTTTATCGTCCAACTTTATGCATCATACATAATACTCAAAAAACTCGAGATAAAGTTCCTTTCTTGATTCTTCACCAATGACAAAATCAAACAAAACAAAACAATGAGACAACATTGAGAAGCATATCATTTGTTAAAATATTTGAGATGAGAAGAATTAGAATTCTATTTTATGACTCTTAGTCATCTTTGAACGTTATTATTACGAAATCATTATTAAAATCTACATTATGTATTATAAAGTTTTAAATTTTTAATTATTTAAAATTAAAAATTGATAATATAGGATCATTATTTATGAGATCCAATTTCTTACAGAGTCCATATATTTAAACGCTAGCAACAAATAAAGTATTATTTTTAAAAGATTTTTTGTTTCTAAATATTGGTATTCATACTTGTTTAAGAAAATTCAGACGTTTTCTTTTCAATTCCATTACTATTATTTTAATAGTTTTTTATTCTATTGATAAATAATACTTTATTTATTAAACGAATTATAGCACATTTATATATATTGCATCATTTTTTGTACGTGTTTCATATAATGACGTTGTTACCAAAATATCTTATTTATTAGACAACAACTAATATAATCACATAAGATAAAATAAAATTTAATATTACTTATTTATATATTTATAATAATAATATATTTGATAAAAAATGTACTTTTATACTGATTATTAGATTAAAAGGTTTAGAATTTCTTCCCAATGTTTGAGAAAAATATTAAGCAACTCATTTTCATACTCATTGAATTTTTATGTGTTAGTTGAATAAAATTTCACATACAACTCGTTTTTTCTCCTTTTAATTCACATAGTTAATATTGGTGATAGTTGTATATTTACATCCATTTTTTGTTTTTTCTTAGTATGAATTTTCTGATCTATGTAAGAAAAATATGTCACAAGGAATCTAATTCTAGCAAAAATATTTTATTGGAATCATGAGCAGATCTATGTTTATTTTATAGATCCGACACAACCCTCCATCCTAAAGCATATAACGTAAGGAATCTAATAAAAATTTGTGGGAACATTTTTTCATAATTTTTATCATGTCCCCTATTTTAAAAATGAAATTGAAAGAAAGAAAGATACATAATGAATTAATTTACAACTCAACCAATTATAATTTAATTCAACTCATAACTTTATTAATGTTATAACATAAACGCGGCATCACAACTAAAGAAAATATAATATATCTCAAAATTACAATTTTATCCTCTAATTATATTATTTCAATCTTGATGACAGTTTCAAATCTCTCTTTTTCAACATATTTTTTTCTATATCTTCAAAATATATTTTTTATGTCTTTTATAACTAATGCAAGAGAAATTCTAGTTATATATTCATATTTCATAAATTAATCAATTATATTGCCGAGTCAGCTATACTACAACATAGATTTTTTGTTTATAATTTTTTTTAAAAAAATATTATTTTCAATGATTTTCTTATGTTGATTTGAGAAAAATTGTCATTTTTTTTATTAAATACTTTTTAACTTATTGTGACTGTACTGATGTGTTAGAATGTATTACAAGTGAGAAACATGACAAATTATGTAAAGTATAATTTATAAATTGTAATGACATTATGTTATTTTAATGCTATACTTTTTCTATTAACTATATAGTGCCCAATATAAAATTATTTTGGATCGGCCACTGCAATTAGTTTTCTAATGGAACTTCTATTAATTTTTTTACAATTTCAATGACAGTTTTTTCAACGGTCGAAATACGATCCTTAAAAAAATTCAACAAAGATTCAAACAATAATAAATTATAGTAATTGGAATGATTTAATTCACAAAATTTTCAATGTAATTTAATTTGATCTCTGTTTGTATAGTTAATGAAATTTTTCAATAAAAGCTTTACCAATGAAATATCCGTTCGAATTTTCTTTGAAATATCTTACATATGCATTTCCCATTGCAATATACTAATTTTTTTTGTATTCCTTCTTAAACATTAGATATAAGGTAGTAGTTATTGAGTAATTGTGTTTACAATTTTTCTAATAACATACATTAAACACATGAACTTTTTAATCCATATAATTTTTTAAAGTAACTCATTATTTTATCTCAAGATTACCTATTAAATTCCCAATTGAGTTACATTTATTACATATTAAATGTTAAATAATTAAAATAATTATTATTTATATATATATATATATATTATATATATATTATACGTAAAAACCTAATAGCAAATAAATAGTAATTTAAAATTAAAATAATCAAGTGTTTTTTTTTTCCTAACCTACATGGATAAAGGTAAAGATAACTATTGTATATCACCTAAAAGTTACATATAGGATTAATAAGTGTTAAAAGGTTTATGTTTACTTTTATTAATTATAACATATTTTATTTATTATTTTTTAATATTTATTAGTACGTATTACAAGTTAGTAATTTTTAATATCATTTGTCAGATTTAATATTTTTTTTATTTTATATTGTTCTTTCATATGTTTTTAAATTTTGTATTTGCTTAAAAATTCATAATATTATGTATAGAACTTTTTCGGTCATATGTGTTAATATATCAATTATTTGTATCTCTTAATATTATATTATATACAATTACAGTTTTATCTTTAATATTATAATCAATTATTCATAATTTATAAATTAATTAACAATATTGTCGAGTCAACTATACTACCACATAGATTTTTTGTTCATAAGATTTTTAAAGAATATATTATTTTGGTCATATGTGTTAATATATAATCTATTTATATATCTTAATATTATATTATATACAATTACAATTTTCTCATTAATATTATAATCAATTAGTCATAATTTATAAATTCATCAACAATATTGTCGAGTCATCTATACTACAACATAAATTTTTTGTTCATCAGATTTTAAAAGATATATTTTTTTCAATGATTTGCTTACTTTTGGTTGAGAAAAATTATATTTTTTTTTAATACTTTTAACTTATTGTAACTGTAAAGATTTGTAAACATGTATTACAGATGAGAAAGATGACAAATTTTGAAAGGTAAAATTTAAATATTGTAATTACATTATGTTATTTTGATGGTATATTTTTTCTATTAGTTAAATAGTGCCCCCATTATGAAATTGTATGTATCTATCACTGCAATTAGCTTTCCAATGCAACGTTCATTGATATGTTCCCAAAAATAAAATTCACACAAGAAATAAATAATGGTAACTCGAATCATTAAATCCATTAAAATTCCACTATAATATAATTTGATCTATGTTGGAATAGCAAATGATATTTTCAAATGAAATATCCTTTAGAATTTTTAGTGGAACATCTTATCGTTGGATTTTTCATTACAACATAACATTTTATTTTTTGCATTCCTTTTTAAATATTAAAATTTTTATGTTGTAGTTTTTCTATTAATTGATTGCGTTTACAATATTTTTTATTAAAAATATATTAAACACATGAACTATTTAGTCTATATAACTTTTTAGAAATCACTCGTTATTTTAACTCAGGATTACCTATTAATTTCTCAATTGAATTACAACCTTTTACGTATTAATATTAAATAACGAAAATAATTATTATTTTATATTGTAATATAATATTTATATATTATATTAATATAAGCAATTTAAAATGAAGAAAACATGTATACTTTAAAAAAAATAAAAAAAAAATTGTGAAATTAGTTCCTACTATTTAAAATAAATATGATTATTCTTGCGATTAAAAAAATTAGACCAATTTTGTAACATATATGACCTAATTTACAACTTGCAATATATGTGGGACCAATTTCGATTAGGCTGCCTTGCAGGTTATCCTCCTAAAGATTCCAGCATGTAGTTGCTATTTTCGGCTGTTACCGATTGTTATCTGCTTGTAATTATGTGTTTTATTTATGAGAATCTACCGTTTGAAAAAAAAAAAAAAAAAAANTGAAAAAAAAAAAAAAAAAAGGTTTCGCCAATGTTTTGGTATTAAATTTGCAACAAACTTAGTGCACTCTACTTGATCGAATTTGAATTCACAGGAAGGAGGGCGTGGAGCTTAAATAACTCGCCCGAACGCCTTAGCCCTTAGAATCGAATGATAAACCTTAGTGGCGCTGCTGGATGAGCTATGCGCAAGAAATAGGCCAATTCCGCGGCTTTTTCTTCAACTTCTCATTTTTGAAAATTTGATTGTTTGATTCATTGAATTAAAGAATTTAGAAAATTAGGAGTTGGCAAATTTTAAGAAAATTGATGGTATTATTATTACTTGAGAGAGGATTCCCGAACTGGTCTAAGTAACTGAACACCTCATCTGATGCAACGGGTGTTGGATGGAAAGTGGGTAGAAAGCATTCAAGTGTGCAATTGAACTATTGTCTACATGTGGTTAGATAGACAAACCAAATTATAGTACAAAGTTGTGGCAGGACCATTTAAATGGCAATCATCACATTCTCTTTGCTAATAAAAGAGAATCATTAGAACCTAAATAATAATAATAATAAAAACGTTTTACTAATGCATACTAATACTATAACAAATATGAAACTTTTTCTGAAACTTGTGGCAAATGCAAGGTGTAGCAGCCCCTCGGAGGAAAGACAATTTTGCTTGTTAGATACAATGAATCCGTCCTACATATATTAATCCAGCCCATTGATTCCCGTTTCGAATCCTAATCGCCAAACTATACTTTTCTATGCTATGCACACAAAAGGAAATAATTTAATATTGCACAATAGATTACAAATTACATTGCTTTTTCCCTATAAATATTACAATCAGTATGAGTTCCCCCAAAACTTGATAGCCAGCACTTAAAATTTCTCTCCACAAAGCATGTCATCATCAGCAGGCATTAATTTTGGTCATCTCATCAAACTCTCTTTGTCCTTTGCTTCATTCCAAAGGTTACCACCTCAAAACACAGTACAAGTTCACTTGCCGGGCCAGCTTGCCACGATTGCACGAGAAAATGGGAAAAAAGATTGATGTGAAGTTAGCCGGAGCTCAAAATCAGTATGAGATGATATGTTCTGTTGAAGAGAAGTCCATAGCGCTAGCTCGTGTGACTGTGACATTCAAGAAACCAGCGAGCTTTATAGAGACTATTCTTCGCTCGGCTAAGGAAGCTATACTTAACTGGACTAGAAGTTTCAAGGCTGAGGATGAGAATCACACTTTTGGAGTGCCAGGGGCTGTTTATGTGTACAATCAGTATCCAGAGGAGTTTTTCTTGGAGAACATATGCATTGACAGTGTTGTATGTTTCTCTTGCGGATCATGGGTACAACCAGCGGAGATTAACCCCGGGAAAAGGCGAGTCTTTTTCTACGACAAGGTAAAAATACGGTAAATTGCAAATTAAACCTCAATCTTGCTTCCTTTGCAATTTACCTTTCAATATTGTCAATGAAAGGCACGGGGGTTCTTTTTGCAAATCAAGCACCGAGGATTCATCACGCACTGACAATTGGGTGCAATTTCCTTATTAAATACATGTGACAGTGTCCATTTGCAATTCTTAAATGTATGTTTTCTTATATTATCCTATATATATAATAGTCTGCAATAAGTCACCTTAGTTAGAATTAGCACGTGATCAAGACACCGCAATATCATGCAGCTATGCCTATAGAGACTGGTGGAGGTTCGACCTCGAAGGGCTTCCAGACGAAGGTCAGTAGTAGCCACCTAACTTTTTATTAGAATATTACTTGTGAGTTTTCCCACATTGATTCTATAGGGTAAATGAGTCTATTTTATAAGCCTAGTGGGATGGAACCTCACTAAGGTGTGCGCATTGGATAGTACGCTAAAAATGTCCTACTTTTCATGCAAGAGGAACGAATGGCAGTGTGGGACCCGGAGAGTCCTCATGGCATCAAACTAGCAATCGAGTACGCCCAAGACAGCCTCCTCATCTGGACCGCAATCGAGAGCCTCGTAACAAAGTACGTGGGCCACTGTTACTCGGATCCAGATAGACACCCAGCTGCAGGCTTGGTACCACGAGTCGGTGGACCTCCGAGTTTGACTCAAGAAGCCAAGTATGCAGCCGTGCTTGGTCATTCGCCCGAGGAAGAGTATATTGGGCAGAGGAAGGATCTAGAGAGTTGGTGCGGGGAGCCGGGAATTTTGGAGAGAATCGAGAGGAGGAATTCAGATCCGGGGTTTATCCGTTCGAGCTGCTGATGCCGAGCTCCGGGAGTGGGACCACGAGCAGGGGCGTGCCTAACAGTGTAACGGCATGAAAGAGAGAGAGTGAGTATCGAAATTTCGGATTCTGATATTTTTCATCTCAAACTATCGAATTTCTTTTCTTTTCTTTTTTTTTGTGGGAATTTCACGGGTTTACGATGCTTCTGCATTTCAAGATTCTGAATGCATTTTGTGGAGAACCTAAGGAAAATTTCGATCTTGTGCTTTATGTGCATGTCCTTTTATTGCGTGCGCGCTCAAAAGTGACTTGAACGAATATAGAGTAAATTGCGATTCAAATTGGAACAAGATTGAAGACGAAATTATGGTCTGAAAAGCGAGTTTTGTCGAGTGTTAGGGTCTTTTTGGGACAATTCACCTCTACAACAGTGCTGTCGGGAAATAACCAATTGTTCCTGTAATTCGACCCTTTGACTGGTCACATTTTAACCAAAAACAGGTTGACTAAGAAAGCACCAAAAAGTGATGAATAATGAAAACATATATCATGCAAACTGATTAAGTGGATATCTGATGTATAATAAAAAAAACAAACAGGCCACAAACTTGGGTACTAAATAAGAATTTTCCCCCATTATTATCTATGAATATTTGGGAAATCAAAAGTTCGCGACCAATATCTCCACGCAAGTAATCAATTATTGCACCATTTTCGCAATTATGTGTTATTTGGTGTGTGGATTGACTGTATCATATGGACTAAATAAAATATGAACCCAAGAATATAACAAGCAGCAAAATGTTCACCACCTCTTAGCACCCTCTTACATATGTTACATGCATGATTGTAAACCATAGTGTGTCAAAGTATGTACAATAAATATTACAACGACCATTTATCATCTGATCCCCTTCACAAACTTGGCATTATTTTCTCTCTCTCATTATTTCATGATTTTTCGTGGTCGATTGTGAATCCGCAATGGCACTACACACTAAGGTTGGGGCGAAAACAATTGGAATCAACAAAGGGTTTTGTGAAGTCATCTATACAGGCCATCCGTATACGTTCTGGAGTGGCTGGATTATCCAGCGGGAACCAATCCTTGAGGCCCGATTCGGCCCGGGCAGCTATGATGGCATCTTTTATGGCAAAGAAAACAGATGATGCCAGAAAAAATGGAGGCTCACCAACTGCTTTGGATGAGTGGATGGCCTTGTCATTTGGAGCATCCTGTAAGAAAAACAAGCACATCGGTATTTTTGCTAGTCTAATAGTATAATGGTTTTATTGGTCTCGATGAAATTTGTTCTTCTCAGACAAAATGTACCAAAATGGTATAATGCAGGGTGCACACCATGAATTGAAAGATGAGAAAACTGAATATCAGCCTGCTGTGGGAAATGTTATAGAAAAACAAATTCACAAATTATAAAATGACAAGATTGAGAAACAAATTCGCAAATTATAAAATGAACACACCCAAGTTAGAAGCACTAAACTGGCGTTAAANAAAAAAAAATAAAAATAAAAAAAAAATGCAAGAAATAAGAAAGAGGTTTTAACATTCTTACCTTCAAGAGGGAGACATTCAATTTGAAAGGGACATCATTAATGGACGGAATTTTGTAGGCACCGGGCCCACAAGTATACAAACAGCCAGGCGATACCCATTTGTGAGCAGAATCGCCCCATTTTAGCTCTTCAAGAGCCACCCATCCAAGACCTTGCACAAACGCCCCTTCAATCTGAATTCGGAAAACCGTATAAATTTTTATAAAACATCTCATTAGCAAAAAATGAAAAATAAATGGTACTATAATGAACTCTTTTAAAATGGATAAGATGCAAACCTGTCCAACATCAATTGCTGGATTTAGAGAGAAGCCAAGATCCAAAATCACATCAGCTCGCCTCGTATGGAAGTCCCCAGTCAACGTGTCGATTTCCACTTCGGCAAAAGCAGCCCCATAAGTGAAGTACCTGAAAGGGACCCCTACACCAGTTGTCCAATCGAACCCAATATCTGGCGTCTTATAAAATCCATGAGCCGAAAGGTCTATTCGCTCCATATAGCATGCCATAGCAAGCTAATATTTCAAACCATCAAACTCACATCAAATCACTTATTATCTCAAACAAATCTCAACATGACATGTCGGATGAAATAAATGTTTCGAAATGAAACATGTAGATTTTCTATGCAGATGACGGTAAAATAACATGCCTTTATCATAACCACTTATTATCTATGTGCAGATTCATCCAGATTATACCTTGTCGTATCTACTTAATTCACAGCTCTTTGTCATACAGTTGGCATCAATGTTCTGAAAACCAGACCAGTCAACAAACCGGTAAAGTTAGAGGTTCCATAGTTCACTGGTTTGGTTTGAGCAGTGGTTTTGTACCAGTATTTATTTATAGTATTTGCGAATATTATACAGTACTTCAAATAATAAATTTTATATATACAATCATTCAATAAATATTTACATAATTTAAAACTTGCAAATGTCTAAACTAATTGATGTAACAACTTACACATATCCAAAAATTTTAACATATATTTGTAAAAATATATATTTTTATATTAAAAATATACTTATTATATTAAAACTACATAAAAATTTTGAACAAGTCCAACCGGCCGTTTCTTGAACGTTCTTTAGCAACCGGTTTTCAAAAGAAGACTGGTTCCAGTCCAACCGGTCGGTCCGATCCAGTTTTTACAACCACGGTTGGCATCATAGTAATAACACAAATGTTGTTAAGCGGCAAAACAAATTAACGGATGTTCAATTAGTCAACCCATCATAATTTTTGAACAAAAAACTATAGGTATATAGTGAAATGTCATACTTCCCATAAAAAGTGAAAACAGTTTACATTGTTAATTAAAAGTATGACATCACATTGTAAAGGACTGCATTTTTTTTTTAAGTATGCCCACCTAATGAAACAGAGGGTAACATTCAACCTACTAATGACCAAAATCCAGGTTAAAATCGCAATTTTAGTCCTACAACTCATAGGTTAGCAGTTTTAATCCTTTAACTTCTACATGTTTGATTAGAATTTTGCTCTTCAATGAAAATATCAGTTTTGCTTATGGCTACGTTTGATAGACAAATTAGCTAGCTTATAGCTTATTTTGTTAGCTTATAAGTTTCCTGTATTTAAATAAGTTTTCTTTGGTAAGACGATCGTTTTTAAAAGTTCGAGCTTATCTCATAAGCTTCTTTGGGTAGCTTTTTAAATAAGCTAGTTGAAATAAATCACCTAATTTTACCAAACACTTTTATCATATAAGCTAACTTTTCAGCTATAAGCTATAAACTTGAAAATTAATGATAAGATGAGCTAGTTTTACCAAACATAGCCTATGTAATTTCCATAGACATCTCCAGGCGTCAAGGCATTTCAGGGAATTTTGAGACATAATTGCTCCACTTGGTAGTTAGTAGTTACATAACAGAGACTGACTTGCGATGAACCTACTGGCATAGACCATCAAGAATGACTTCCGATAACATACAAATAAACCTAGTTTCTGTCAAACTTAAAGATGAAAAGGAGATATGTCCCTAGCATTTAATTAATCTGGCTTGCTAATACCTAGAACCAAGTGCAGTGCAAATACATGAAATAACCAGCAATTATATTATTACCTCAGCAAAAGAACCAAAATTACGGGTAGAATCCAAAGGCTCCATCCTTGCTTTAATTTGCTGGCATGCATCCAAAACTGCAGCCCCGTAATAATCGGAACTTGCAGAAGCCGCTGTAGGTGATGCATTCGGAACCTAGTTAATTGTAAAGACAATAAACTGTTAAACATACTTAAAATGAACGACAAAAGTACTTATGAAGAAAATAATGTTAAACATGGATATGAGCAGTAAATAACGGTTAAACGCCTCATCATGTGATACTTAGTAGCACTTTGACGAAGCATATACAGGATGTCACTGTCGAGCAGAAATTATATTTTACAAGGTATGAACATCATATGTTTCACTAACATCAATTTGGTCTTGTTATAGAACAAGAACCAGTAATTGTGCTCCTTATGAAGCTACAAATGGTATGTTGGCATGTGTCGATAAATCACACGTGGTTGAGTCCATAAGAGTGCCAGCTGGCTTCATAGAAATTGCATCAACTAATTTAATCATGGAAATTAGGTTTAGATTTTTTTAAAATCCAAAGCATTTCTTTATAGAGAATTTAGTACAGAAATAGGTATAAGATCTTGCAATTTCATAAGACATTCCAACAGGTATAGAACTTAGTTCTTTCTTTTCTGAGATTAAAAAATTCTAATAGTCCACTAATAACTATGATGGGAATAGAGTTAGAATATGAAAATGATTTATGTAACAATGTGTAGCAGATTCCAAATTACATTGATAAATGGGCCTGGGTAAAACTCATCCCCAAAAGCTAGCTCAAAGGGAAAGGGTGCCCAACCCACACTTATACACAATAACGGCCCAGTAACTATTCGATGTGGGACAAACATAACTTCTAACATACATAATGTATTATTTAAGGACCTACATCTCCAAGTAAACGAAGTCTTTCCATCAATTTCTGGATTTTCAAAATTATTGTCCTCATTCAATAACCAGCAGTACTTTGTCTTCATGGATGTCTTATTTTCTGTTTCAATCTAGAAAGTACTTGTCCATCTAATAATATAGACTAGCCTGGGTGTACACAATTCTTTTAAGTGCTTGCAGCCATGCACTACTGGAGAGAACAATAAAACTTAAATCATACTAAACAACTATGAAATCATCCTTCCAAATTAACGTGCGTGGTTTTAACACAGGAGGACCAGAATAATACTCAAGAAAGATGAAAAACAAGATGTTTGCTGTTTGAAATTTCATCTTCCTCTCATTACAATAACATTTCCTTTTCTTCTTTCAAGATGATAAAGATAA